TAGTTTAAGTGAGCACTCACTTTTGTGTTTGCGTGTCAGTTGATAATCAGTGGGATCACGTGGTTTATAGCTGGATTGATATCATTAAATCTGGAACTCTTTTCCTCTGGCCTCAATAACCCAATGACTTGTATGCTGAAAAGTGATTAAGAGGTCAAAGAAAACACAGTGAGAGGGAAGTTGCTAGAGCAAGCTTTCCCCAGTTGTAATGTTCTTTCAGATGTCCAGGCTATCCCCTGCTCTTAGAGGTTGTTCCAGATCTTAGATAGTCGCTATGCCCAGAGGTAAATACAGCTGGGGCAGCAGCCAGAGGGAATGATCCTCCAGCTACCTGCTGCTGTCCTTAAGTATGGCTGTTGTGAGATGCACAAGTTTGTGGGGGAGACTGAGTGCCTAAATCGCAGGAAGAAAGATAAAATTCCTCAGCCTTGTGGATGTCCTAAATATGGGAAAGTTGCAAACTCCCTAGAGACTTGTTGAATGGCTTTGACAAAAATGCTGATGATAGGGACAATGAAATCCAGGCCGAGGTGGTCTCAGATGGAGATGAGGAACTTGTTGGGAATTGGAGCAAAGGTGACTTTTGTTATGTTTTAGCAAAGAAACTGGTGGCATTTTCCCATACTTTCCTGTCTTCTTCTCCAAACTGTGCCAACCTCTGCCTGTTACTCAGTTCCAAAGTCACTTCCATATTTTTGGGTACTTTTTCAGCAGCTCCCCACTCTATTGGTACCAAATTACTGTATTAGTCCATTGTCATGCTGCAGATAAAGACATACCTGAGACCAGGAAATTTACAAAAGAAAGAGGCTTAATGGACTTACACTTCCATATGGCTGGGGAGGCCTCACAATCATGGCAGAAGGCAAGGAGGGGCAAGTCATGTCTTACATGGATGGCAGCAGGCAAAGAGAGAGAGCTTGTGCAGGGGAACTCCTCTTTATAAATCCATAAGATCCTGTGAGACTTATTCACTATCACGAGAACAACATAGGAAAGACTTGTCCCCATGATTCAATTATCTCCAACTGGGTCCCTCCCATAACATGTGGGAATTCAAGATGAGAGGTGGGGGCATGGCCAAACCACATCAAGGACTGATAGATAGAAATGGGGGGGTGGAGGACTAAAACCAGCCCAATTGTCACATAAAACTGATGTTTCTGGTTTCTTTGAATAAACATAGAAATTGATTCTCCCAGTCTTAAAACTTGAGAAAGTTACATTTGTCTTATCTGAGTTCCTTTCTCAGGAAACCAACCATCAGACCTCCCAGATAGTAGCAAAGAACTAAAACATACCAGATCATGGCATCTGGACAGTGAGGCACCAGATCCCCTCATCCATCATGACTGCCTAACTGGCCACCTGCTTCCTGTTGACTCTTCCTTACCCCTCTTGAATTCCTATTTTCCCACACATGGCTTCATTTCTTCCCTGCTATAGAAACTCTTAATTTTAGTCAGTCAGGGAAATGGATTTGAGACTGATCTCCCATCTCCTGGGATGTAGCACCTCAATTAAAGCCTTCTTCCAAGGCTCAGTACTCATTGTCTCAGTGATTGTCTTTCTGTGTGGCAAGCAGCAAGACTTAGACTGAACCTCTGGCATTTTGGTAACAGTTACATGGGTATATTATGTGATGATGAGGTTTAGGGTATTGATCCCATTACCCAGGTAGTGAGCATAGTACCCAATAGTTAGTTTTTCAACCCTTGAGGCCTCCCTCCCTTTTCCCACGAGTAGTCCTCCGTGTCTATTTTTGCCATCTTTGTGTCCATGAGTACCCAACGTTTACTTCCCACTTATAAGTGAGGATGTCGGTATTTGGTTTTCTATTCCTGCATTCATTTGCTTAGGATAACTGACTCCAGCTGCATCCATGTTGCTGTAAGGGACATAATGTCATTATTTTTTATGGTTGTGAAAATATCACTTAAAATTTATAAAGGAAAGAAATGGGCTGGGTGCAGTGGCTCACACCTGTAATCCCAACACTTTGGAAGCCCAAGGCAGGAGGATTGCTTCAGCCCAAATATTTGAGACCAGCCTGGGCAACATAGTGAGATCCCACCTCTAAAATAAATAAATAAATAAAGACTCCTTACTCTATCATGACAATTTAAATTAGCTAGGTCATCTTACAGTAAACATGGACTATTTTAAGAGTCATCTTGTATAACATTACTCACTAACAGTTGATGCAGTTGGAGAATATTTAGCTGAAAGACTTAAAGGTGACTTATTCCTGGCTACTCAAAGTGTGGTTCATGGATCAACAACACTGGCATCATCTGAGAGCTTGATAAATTATAGACTCTCAGTTCCTACTTAGACCTGACGAATCAAACTCTGCATCCTAACCAAATTCCCCAGGTGATCAGTATGCACATTGAAATTTGAAAAGAAAATTGGCCACCTATCAGAATGACCTGATATACTTTAAAATCTGGTTACCTAGGCTCCATTCCCAAAGTCTGTTTCAACAAGTTTGGAGCAGAGCCGAGTGAACTATGTATTTTTTAAAAATACTCCCCAAAACAGTCAAGTTTGGGAACCATCACTCTAGTCCATCTGCTCTATTCTGCTGATGAAGACAATGAGGCACAGAATGGTGAAATGATCTCATCAAATTAACAGCAGATTAAAATCCAGGCCGGGCCCTGGAACCTAGGAGTTTGAGACCAGCCTAAGCAGCATGGCAAGACTCCTGTCTCTATTAAAAAAAAAAAAAAAGCCAGTCATGTTGGTGCACACCTGTAGTTCCAGCTACTTGGGAGGCTGAGGTGGGAAGATTGCTTTGAGCCCAGGATGTTGAGGCTGCACTGAGCCGTGTTCGTGTCACTGCACTCTAGCCTGGGCGACAGAGCAAGACCATCTTTAATAATAATAATAAAATATTATAAAATACAGATCCCCTGACTACTAGACCAATTACCCTACACACACACCCACAATTATCTTATTATATACAATTGAAAAGACTGTGCTTATGGAATTTGTTCCAAGAAACAGAAGGAATTTTGCTTGACACAAAAATGAAGCTTGGCAGCAATATGAAGAAATGTGAGGACTTGAGACTAGTTCTCAAGAAGCTTACATTTAATGGGGCAAAGAAGATGCTGGGCAACCCAATAAATAAAAACAAATTTAAGGAGAGGAACTCATGAATGCATTTGACACCCCACACTTGTCTGTGTTGGAAGTTTCCTTCGCCACAATCCCACAGAATTTTGTTTCTGTTTCCTCTCTGGACTACTTCCAGCCTCCCCATCAAAATTCGTTGTGTTGAGCTTTGTGCCTGGCCCCTGAGCAACAGAGTGCCAAACTCTTTCTTTAAGACCTTTGTCATCAGCCTGTCAGTGCTTTGCACATAGCAGGAACTTGTCAAGAGCATTTGAGGAATGGAATCCCAGGGAGAGGATGGAGTGGTATTCACATAGTCATGTGATCAATTACTTATCGCCCAATATGCGTGCTATGGACTTAATATTTGCGCCCTTACCCCAGAATTTATATGTTGAAGTCTTAATCCCCAATGTGATAATATTTGCTGTTGGGGCCTTTGGGAGGCACTTAGGTTTAGATTAGGTCACGAGAGGTGGGGCCCATAGGATGGGATTCGCGCCCTTGTAAGAAGAAGAGACCAGAGCCCTATCTCTCCGCCACGTGAGGGCCCTGTAAGAAGGCAGCTCTCTTCAAACCGGCAAGAGGGCCCTCACCAGACAATGAATCTACTGGCACCTTGCTCTTACGCTTCTCACCCTCCAGAATAGTGAGAAATAAATGTTTGTTGTTGAAGCTACCCAGTCAGTAGTATTTTGATATAGCAGTCCAAACAGACTAAGATGATATGCATTACACTGAACTAAGTGGTGAGTAGAATTCCAAGTTTATAAAACTCAGTCCCACCCTAAGGATACTATTTTTTTTTAAGAGATAGGGTCTTGCTATGTTGCCCAGACTTGTCTCAAATTCCTGGACTCAAATGATCCACCCGTCTCAGTTTCCCAAAGTGCTGAGATTATAGGCGTGAGCCACTGCTCCCAGCCCCTAAGAATACTTATAATCTAGTAGGCAGATGATTCATGGTCTCTTAAAAATATATTCAAGATTACAAGACAATATTTAACAAGAGCCATTTGAAGGATATAGACCCAAGCAAGTTTCCCAACCTATAAAACCCTTCTTATAACAGATAATTTCAAATGGTCTCTTAATTTTTCTGAACTGGAATTCATGAATAATATAGCTAACTTACACATGGACAATATAACTTGCTCAAAATCAGTGTAATAAATTCCTTGACTGATATAAAGAATAAAATAAAAGCAATTTATTACAAAATAATGTGTTTTCATATATAAATGATCAGGCATGCTTATACCAAAAGCCATAATGAAGTAGTCAGATAAAAAACTGCTGTTATTGGGACAGCTACAAATGCAAACTAATATAGACATTGTCCCGGGGATTACACTGGGAGCAGCGTGACGGTGGATAATGTGTGTTTCCAAAGCAGTGACTAAAGGTAAAGTTCTGAACAAAACAAAGAATGGGTTTCCTTGAATTTTCACAGAAGTTGAGTTCCTAGAAAATTGGGTGTGTATTAAAACTGTGCAAACAATACTTTGGGTATAAAAAGGGCCAAGTGCAGTGGCTCATGCCTGTAATCCCAGCCCTTTGGGAGGCCGAGATGGGCAGATCACTTGAGGTCAGGAGTTTGAGACCAGCCTGGCCAACATGGTGAAACTCCATCTCTACTAAAAATACAAAAATTAGCCAGGTGTGGTGGCAGGCACCTGTGATCTCAGCTACTAGGGAGGTTGAGGCAGGTGAATCACTTGAACTGGGGAGGTGGAAGTTGCAATGAGTTGAGATCATGCCACTGCATTCCAGCCTGGGCGACAGAGCAGACTCCATCTCAAAACAAACAAACAGCAAAAAACAGCAATTAGTTTCCAGGCTCAAATAATTAAAAATAGGTTTCCCCCTACCAGACTCCCTGCCAGCTCTTTGGAAAGTTGTGTGACCTATGAACCAATTCTTCTCTACATGAGACTGTACTGTACATCACAGTCTGTCCAGCATTGACCCCATTCATGGATGCCAGTAGTGCTTCTGTGCAGCACTCAACATTGTGACAGCCAAAAACATCCCCTCTACATTTCCAAAGCCCCTGTCGGGGTAGCAGGACTCCCACTGAGGGACCCTAGTAGAGATGGTAAGTGGAGGCAGAGCAGCGCCTCTCACACTTCCATGTGTCCTTGAGTCCCTCCACGGATCTTGCTAAAATGCACATTCAGGATGTCTGGGGTGGAGCCTGAGACTCTGCATTTCTACCAGCTGTTCTCAGACCCAGGCTGTCGAGATCAGAGGAAGAAGAAATCATCTTGGGTTCAGGTAGCAAAGGCTTCACAGTAAAGAAGGGAACATAAGCAAGGTTTTGAAGAATACATGGAGGTGGAGCTGATGATCCCATGAGGTGCAGGCTGCTAGGAGGCAGACACACTGGACCAGCAGAGAGGGATCCGTAGCAAACTGTGCCTAAAGCGAGCAAACAGCCTTGAGCCAACAGCAACAGCGCTGCTGGGCACGTAGGGTAAAAATAACAACTCCCTACTGGGGTCGAGTCTGCCAGACCCTGGCGAAGTTCATTTCTTTCAATAAATCCAGCAGCTTCCCCTTTGATAAATACTGTCAAGGCTGGAACATGTGATGCTAACAAAATATGGTTTTAATTTGGGGCCCACTGCGCTCATGGTTAAATACTGCGTGTGTGTATACACAAGCAGACTCACAGTGAGCCAAGTTAATGTGCCTGGGCTGAGAATGGATAAACCCATGAGGATTCAGTTATACAGATTTTGCTGCTCTGAAAAGCAACCTAATCACCACCATCAATTCTAATGCTCTAAGACCTCTTAGGAACATGAAAGCTTTTAAAGTTCAGCCATTTGTGCATTTGCATCCAGCGCAGACGCAGGGGCACATTTGTTTTTCTGATATTTTATGCCTACTTTACTGTCATATGTTGTCTGACATTCGGAAGATAACATGCTGTTTTAATCAACAGCTCAACGCTGCATTAAAACTTGATGGTCCATAGCTTTGCAGCAAAGGGAGGTGAGCGGGGAGGAAATGAGAATCAGAGTTTAGCAACAGACCGAGGCTTGTTCTGGTGGGATTCATTCCTGGGAATACAGAAACTCTTGGAGATTTTGTTAGTCTGCATGTGTCAGTTTTAGAACAGCCCAGGGAAAGAAGGAAACTGGCTAAACAAGTTTCAGTCTGGCCTCTGCGGTGGACACGGCTGGTAACTGGACCTCCAGGCCGTCGTGAATAATGAAGTCTGCTTCTTCAAGAGAGCAGGTCACAGCAACTGCACTGAGGCATTTGCCGATTGCCCAGCAAACCAAAGATATAGCACCTGGCCAGTAATCTTACAGGGGAAACAAACAGACCTGGGAATGCAGGGAGCAGCAGGTGTCCTCAGGGCAGTAGGAGGGCAGAGAAAGTGAAGAAACCAGGTGGGCAGTGGGAGTGGGAACCTACCCGAATGCCCCCAGCGCAAGATGCAGAACAGTTGGCACTTCCAGAGACCGGCTCCTCAGGAAAGTGAAACTCAGGGAAGGGAGCTGGTCATTTCATGAAACAAGCAAGGATTGGAATAATTTCCTGAAAGGACTAGGGGTTTATTACGTGGGGAATACCCGCAGGAAGGGAGCTGCAGGAATTCTTCGTTCTGGTAGGCACCTGCCCTGTTGCATTTTGAAACTGGTTAAAAATGTATTTCTATTTTATTATTATTTACTCACAGGGACAGAAAAAGCCTGAGATCCTGTGAGCAGCACCTTCCCAGTTAGTCACTGGTCAGCTAGAGACCATCTAAGGTAGAAAAGCTGGATGGGAATCCTTAAATGTTGGCTCCTCGTGCTTATTTTTTGTGGCAAAAGTGAAGCCTGTTTATTGTAGAAAATGTAAGTCACTAAAAAGTGCAGACACTGTTTAAAAATCAGGGAGAGTCCTCCTGATTATGAAGGGAAGTCCTTCTCTAGGCTACTTAAAACTTCAAGTTAGAAGGTGCTTAGCAGCAACCAATGAGGATTGAGTGAATTCGGGATTCCCAAGGTATTTTCCGGTGGTCTCTGGGGTCCACTATGTTTTCTCTGGTGTTCTGAAAGGAGAGAAAAGGCAATTCTCCCTACCCTAAAATCTGTTAGTTGGTTTGGAGCCATGGGCGATGCTGGTCAGATGCTGCCTGAGCCAAGTGAACATTCAGGGCATGGCTGCACTTGGCACTGGCTGCTTTTTTCCTTGGATTGCTTCCTCACTAATGGAAGGGATTGAGAGGAGGGCCTGGCAATTTTATCTGGAAAAATAATTCAGATTTCTAATAGTATAGAGATTATGTACCAGTAGAAAGGGCAGGGTAAAGGAGGATTTGTTCCTGCGTATTCATTACGGTGTTGAAATACTCTGGGGACAAGAGGTCAGTGGGCGTTGAACCCAAATCAAATTTAGCAAGTGGAATAAGCCTCTAATTGGAGGCCTGGATTCCATATTAAAAGCTATTCTCCACCTGATGCCTTTTAAAGATACCGCTGCGGTATGTAAATTTCATGGATTTCACTCATTGCAGGTCCCCAAGCATGCTAACCATGAAGCAGTGATACAGCACAGCACCTGCTTCCAGCAGCCCCGAGCCAAGGGGCAAAATGGAAAGAGTCAGCATTTCTCTTTTAGGTTCTCTGCCTCTCTGATGTGTAAGCTTTTAACCCCCACTATGCACCTTCATTCCATTCGCTTCCAGTATCCATTTTAGTGAGCTTCTGTTGTTTCTGCCCCAGAATATCTCTAACAAAGAACCAAGAGAGGTATCAGGAGAACTTCTCCCCCTTGCCTCTCAGTCCTTGGGGATCTGATGAAATGACACTTCTTGGACTATGGAGTGGAGCAAGTGAGTCACACCTGGGCCAATCATTTTATTGTATTTCATGACCACATGGCCAATTCAGGGATGGGAACATGACCAGGTGGAACCTATGAGAGGCATTGAGATCTTTCCAGGTGCTTCCAGGAAACAGGGTCTTGCTTTCCCCTCTGTATTGTACACCTGAGGTGTGTGGCTGAAGCTGCTACCATCCCCTTGTGACCACAGGAAGCTGGGATTAATTCCAACAATGCGATTGGCAGATCTGAAAGCTCAGAACAAAAAGACAAAAAACCTGTGTTTCAATAACACTATAAATGAGCCCTAAATCCAGCTATGCCGGGAGCCAGTCTTACCATGGAGTTTTAACCTAAGCTGGTCGATAAATTACCTTTTTGCTTAAGGCAAAGTTGTGGCAGATTTTCTGCCACTTCCAAGGAGAAGACAGATACACCCAAGAAGCTCCTGTTCTTTCTCATTAACCCGTGTTAAAACCCATTTTCAGGAAAGGATTGCCCATTCTAAATTCTGAATAATGATAATGCGTCAAAGTATGACTCCTTCAAGACAGCTTTCAGCGTTCAGGATTTGTCCAGCAAATATTTAGCCCCTTCTGATGCAAATAGACATGGCAGTGTATGCTAGGAGCAGAGTGTAGCCAAGCTTTCCCGTCAAACTCAGTATTTCATTGCCTAATTTTGGCCATTCAGATAAGTTCCAACTTCTAAGAATGGCAGAGTAAATTGTATCTAACTAACCCTTCTGCCAAAGACAATGGTCCATTCTGGACCCAAACACAGTAATAACAACAAAACCTCTTTGAAGGTTGAAACTGGCCAACGTGGTTTGGTTCTGCAGACAAAAACTGAGGGAGACATGAGCCTCGAAAAAAGGAAATCATATGGAGTGAGAAACACATTTGTCAGGTTTTCCTTTGAGAGCACTGTCCATTTTCTGCAGTGGACAGAGGCAGAGCTCAGCAGAAAGTGACAGTCCTACTGAGCTAAAAAGTCAGAGGTTAAACGGCTGGGCGCAGTGGCTCACGCCTATAATCCCAGCACTTTGGGAGGCTGAGGCAGGCAGATCATCTGAGGTCAGGAGTCTGAGACCAGCTTGGCCAACATGGTGAAACCCTGTCTCTACTGAAAATACAAAAATTAGCTGGGGGTGGTGGCAGGCACCTGTAATCCCAGCTAGTTGGGAGGCTGAGGCAGGAGAATTGCTTGAACCTAGGAGGTGGAGGTTGCAGTGAGCCAAGATCGCCTCATTGTACTGTAGCCTGGGAGACAAGAGCAAAACTCTGTCTCAAAGGAATGAAAAAAAAGTCTCAAAAAGTCAGAGGTTAGAATTTGGGGCTTCCACAGTAGCGGGAGATTGGGAAAAAGGGAGTCTCACAAAGGAGGGAGTCTTAGATGGGGAGTTCCCAAATCTGTGTACAAACTTCTCTGACTCCTAAACTGTGCATCAGGATGAGGTTCAAGGAGCTGAGGGACAAATAACAGCTAGAAGGCTAGAAAGAGGGGTTGTCTTGTGTTGAGAAGATGACGCTAAGGGTTTAGTTCTCACCAGGTTAGAGGGGTCTGGAGAACACCTAAGGCTTTCCACTGAGACCACAGAAGGAGTAATGATTATGCCCCAGGACTAAAGTCTATGACCTAAGAATAAAGGCAAAACCAAAATAGGCCCATTCTGACAAAGCCTAAAACCAACTCTTCATAGCCAGATTATGCAATATAATAACCTCTGGGCACACATGGCATTTCAAATTTAATTAAAACTAAGTAAAATTTAAAATGTAGCTCCTCAGTCACACTAGTCACATGTCAAATGGTCATAGACAAATGTGGTTAATGGCCATTATATTGGACTGCACAGATTATAGAATATTTTTATCATTATGGAAGTTCTATTGAATGGCATTGCTCCATAGGATTAAGAAACTATACTAGTAATTTAACTATTTGCTAGAACAAATGTCAAATTTCTTCTAAGGAAGAGGGCAGACTCCAAATTCTTTTTAATATCATTGAAAATGCTCAGCATACGATTTTAAAAAGCACTAATTGTTTAAAGAATCAGGAAAATGTAAGCTACAGTGAAGAGAAACAATAGGCAATAAACACAGACTCACAAGTGACCCAGATGTTAGAATTTAAAAAGACTTAACAACTATGAAAAATAAAGAGTCTTAGGAAAATATATCTGTAGTAGGTGAAGAAATGGAAAATTTCAAGAGAAATGTGGAAACTTTATAAAAAGAACCAAATGGAAATCCTGAAGCTGAAAGATACAATATCTGACATTGAAAACTCATTAGATTGGAATTAACTGCATAATGAATGTAATATAAGAAAGCACCAGAGAGGTCAGACATGGTGGCTTCAGCCTGTAATCCCAGCACTTTGGAAGGCCGAGGTAGGCAGATCACTTGAGGTCAGGAGTTTGAGACCAGCCTAGCCAACATAGTGAAACCGTGTCTCTACTAAAAATACAAAAATTAGCCAGGCATGGTGGCAGACACCTGTAATCCCAGTTACTCCGGAGGCTGAGGCAAGAGAATTGCTTGAGCCAGGGAGGTGAAGTTCAAGTGAGCCGAGACCATGCCACTGCATTCCAGCTTGGGTGATAGAGCAAGTCTCTTTCTCTAAATAATAATAATAAGAAGAAATAAGAAATCATCAGATAACTCGAAGACAGGTCAATGGATACTATTTAATCAGAGAGGGAAAAAAAGATTAGAATAAAGAGAACAGGGCCTAAAAATCCTGTGGGATAATATCAAGCAGTCTAACATATATGTATTTAGAGTTCCAGAAAGAAAGAAGAAAGAGAGTTAAGTAGAAAAAGTATCTGAAGAAATATTGGCCGGAAAGCAAGGCAGAGTGGCCCACACCTATAATCTTAGTACTTTGGAAAGCCAATATGGAAGGATTGCTTGAGCCCAGGAGTTTGAGACCAGCCTGGGCAACATAGTGAGACCCAGTCTCTACAAAAAAAATTTAAAAATTAGCCAGGCATGGTGGTGCATACTTGCAGTCCTACCTACTCAGGAGACTGAGGCAGGAGGATCACCTGAGTCCAGGCGGTCAAGGCTGCAGTGAGCTGTGATTGTATCACTGCACTCCAGCCTGGGTGACAGAGTGGGACACCGTCTCAAAAAAAAAGAAAGAAATATTGGCTGGAAAATCTTCCAATTTGATCAAAAACAGTAATCTCAGCAAACTCTAAATAGGATTATTTCAGCCATTTAGATGTCTCCGATCCACCTACTCACTGACAAGATATGGGGTAACATGTGGACCAAGAACTTCTGCAAGGTTAATAGGGTCTGGGATGAGGTTACAGATATTCAGAGGCAGTGCTGACACTGAAAGAATTCCAGAGGTTTCTTCTAAGATCTTGCTGGCTCCAGAAAACAAGTCTAGAGTACACTTTTCCTCCTGAAGGATCTGACAGTCCTCCTTCAAACTGCCCTGAGACAGGCCCCACAACATTTTGAAAGTATTAGGTTGATTTGACTTTAACTTCAATTCTACTTGAAGGAAAAGTGTATTTAGATAGAGAATAGATTTCTGGGAGCTAGAGAAAATGAGGCAAGAAAGAGCTACAGTAAAGCTAACCCAAAGCATAGATAGTCCCTTATCAAGAATCAGGTTGAGTGGAATGAAGAAAAAGTTGGCAGGATTTGCCCCACATGAGGCACACATTCTTGGTGGGAGCCCTTAGTTACACGGCTCAGGAACTAATAAGTCCCCATGGCACTTTTGATGCTTTCTGTGGCAAATAACAATCATCACAATCATAACAACTTATCAAACTGACTTAAATATAAGGAAATTTGTTATTTCACAAAAGTGAAATTTTAGGACTAAACTCAATTTTAGGACTTTTAAGTTGTACTTTGAATGGTGAAACAGAGTATTGAGTTGCAGACTTGGATGGCTGAACAAATCTGGAGCTGGTTAATTCAGAAGCTCAATGACGCCAACGCAGACCCATGCTCTTTCCCTCCCTCTTCTGCTCTGCTTGTCAAAGCTTTCACCTTAAGGTTGGTTCCCTTCAAGTGCCAAGTATACATGTGCATACCTTTTCTAGCAGGAAAAGGAGAAAGCAAGAAAACTCTTTCCTCAGTCAAGAAGTGTTAAGTCCTTAGCTTTAGCCTAATTTAACCAAATTAAGTTGTACCTATAAGGAAAAAGGTAATTTGTCTTGGATAGTAGCAATGAGATTTTAGAACTGATACTGGGAGGGTACCTTCAAGTCTGTTTCTACACAGTTTCCTAGCATGGACCTCTAATATTAGGGAGACTCTGGAGTTACGTATCTTGGTAATTTAGGAGTAAATCTCTCTTAGCAACAGTTAATTATAGTTTAATTTATTTCGTGTTGCTAAAGAGCAAATGGATGAATGCACTGAGTTGCTATTGAAGCTTTTATTTGAATTTGGTAATTCCTGATTGCCTGTATCATGTAATACTATCATTTTCTCTAGTATTAAACAATCTTCCAGTCCCTCAAATGAGGCAGCAATTTGTGTGTTTGAGACTGTAAGTATTTTAGGTACTAGACAGTAATACACAAAGCACCAATGATAAAGTCAATCTAGCCACAGCACACCCCCCCCCCAGAAAATATTGAGGGTTCTAACAACAGAGGCAACATAATCCAAAACAATAATAACAAAACAAAATGAAAGAGAGAGCACTGAATTTGATGAATTAAAAATTATGAGAAGATTTTTGGTTGCAAATAATCAGATGGCAGTAACTTCTTATGTGATTAAGCCATCCTGTTGCATAGTGAAACCAGTTTGCTAAGCACCTTTTGTTTTGTTTTGTTTGAGGCAATGTCTTAGTCTGTCACCCAGACTGGCGTGCAGTGGTGCCACCATGGTTCACTGCAGCCTCAATGTCTCAGGCTCAAGTGATCCTCCTGCCTTAGCCTCCTGAGTACCTGGGACCACAGGTGCATGTCACATACCCAGGTAATTAAAAAAATTTTTTTTGGTGGAGATGAAGTCTCATCATATTGCCTAGGCTAATTCTGGACTCCTGTGCTCAAGCAATCCTCCCACCTTGGCCTCCCAAAGTGCTGGGATTACAGGCATAAGCCACCACACCCGGCCCTAAGTACATTTTTTATACCTGACTGGATTTGTGTTCTAGTTGGCCTATCTACTATGTGGTATGAGTATACTTCCCAGGTAATGAGAAAAATAATAGCAAACACTTGTGATTATGTTATTTGTCAAGATGATTTCTACTTCTAATCTAGAATTAGTTTCTAATCACAACTGTTTGCCACAAATGTTTGCCATTATTTGCCAGAATTAGTTTCTAGATTAGAATTGTTAATCAAGTCATGGTGAAAGAAAAAAAGACTTTCTGAGAAGGCAAAAGGAAAAATTGGCAAATTTAGTAAATACTGTTTACATATTGACTTGTTTTTCTTAATGTTAACTGCAGAATTCTTTTCACCATCCAAGGTGCAAATAAAAGTCCTGAGAGTTTAGTTCTACGTCATCTCTTTTATTAATAACAGATGTCAGTTGCACTGCCATGCAGCTGGTAACCTTGGAGGCACCCTCGCTGCCCACTAACCCCCCATTGCTCTAGAGGTGCTGAGAATGGGTGAAAGCAGAGGGGGAATACCCAAGCAGAAGTGAGGCAGAGGTAAAATGGCACAGAGAAAATCACTGCAACACAATACAAAGTCAAGGTCAAAGATGGGATGAGACAGAGACATAGAGAAAACCATCCAGAGAACACTGGCCTAAAGTAATCCTTGGTGGCTGTGATGGGGGCGGGAGGGGGGTTCTTTTAAAACCATGATGTTTGGCAAACTAGGAAATAAAGAGACGAAGGTGAATATCATGGCAGACTCAGCAGACAACAGCTGGAACCAAAGAAGCCCAAGGAGAGCCCTGAGCGTGGAGAAAATAGTGCTGGGTAGGCATTGTTCTCTACAGCCAGAGCACACCACAGAGGGTCACCATTGAAAGTGAAGGACAATTAGAGTTGGGAGTACCTGTGCGTCTTTGAAGAAGGAATAGTGCTTTCTGGACACATTGATTTTGAAATCATTTTAGTGGCAATTATTTTCACAGTCTGTGACCCAAGTATGCTCAGGCTGAAGTCTTACCTCTTTTTCCCCGGTTATTTCTGCTGCCTCAGCTTATGGCAGGAGACCTTGGTATCTCAACCCTGGTATTTTCTTCTCCATCTCCTTGCCCAAATGAAAACTCTTCTTTACCCAGAGAGCATTGCTTTCCTTGCAGCCCTCTTACGTCCTTTTCCATACCCTGTAAACCCAAGATTAGGATGTGTGTGTTGCTGCCTCCTTATTGCCTAATGCAGCCTCCAAGCACTCCTGTAAAAAAGGCTGTTCCTCTGCAGTTCAGGTAGTGTTGTTCTTGTCCACTGGTCTCTGGAAACTCCCTCTTGTTCTCCAAGGACTTTCCCTTCTAGCTTCCAGTATTCCCACACACTTCAACCCCATCATCCTCCAGAGAAGTGTTACTGTACCCATGGATGACCTAGACAACACTCTGGCCTCTCAATGCCTTAATGTACTTCCCCACCTCCAGCACCCACCTCTCAGTGGCACCTGGGTCTGGTCACCTCTTCAGTCTCCTGCTCTGACCACCGCTCCCTCACTTCAGTCTACTTGCTAACCTGCTCTGCACCTCACCACACAAGGGCCTTAGTCCCTGGCCACTCTCCTTTTCCTTCTCCATTAACCCACTCTGCCTTCATTTCCCTTTGAAGCCACATAGGATTCAATAGTCCACTTAACTATTACATCAGTCACTATCTTGCCAATACCCTAAACTTACTGGCCCATTTTTTTCTTTCATCACATCCACCTTGGGGTGAAGGGGGGAGTCCTAGAATAACTCAACTGCACACTTTCTTCTTTATGTCTCTCGTTAGGCAGCAAAGCATGACTAGAGAGAAATATCCCAGCCTATAGCCTGCACCAGTCACCACCTTCACTGACTTTCAAACCTCCTTCACCCCTAGAGAATCTCACTGTCCTCCTCTTGTCCCTCACCCTTCGGTCTCTGAAACGACCATTTTTTTCCACTTCTCAAAGCTTTGAGCCCCTCACTTCATCCCTCACTTCAGCAGATGTTTTTGTTCTTACTTCACAGAGGAAACAGATGCCCTCTGGTGGCAATTACCTCACTTCCTGCCACCGGCTCCTATAAACCAACCTACACCTGCGCCCATCCTTTGCTCTTCCCATCTGG